AAGACTCAAGATCTCATTTGTCCTGCCTAAAACAGCTAGCTTTGTCTCCCTTCTTTCTATTGCAATTAGCATAAACTCATTCCCACAGCACTAAGAGTAACATGACACAGTATTACACATCATTTTGTGGCCAACCTGTCTCCCTCCACTGTGTTTTACCCTGGGATAGCCTCAGACTTAGCAGCAGAACGTGTTACTTTTGTGTGCCAGCTCTTGACAGTCACAGAAGATTCTTACTCTCATGAGCAGTCTCCTTGAATTTGGTGGGATTAATCCGCTGATTTGAGGATCTGCATGATCTTGTGATAATGTTACTGCCTTGTGTATTTCCCTTACAAATATCCATCACAGATAAAGACAAAATGTTCTAGTTATGATACTTGCCATGAGATATCTGGACATCTGCCACCATCCTCTCTGGCCTTGGAAAAGTTGCTGGGATGGCTGCCAGTCTGGCTATTGCATTCATCATCTTGCTCCAGATGGAAAGCAGACTCTCTGGGTTGTCCATATTGCGTACATCAGCAGCTGGTACTGTCAGGATGATGTTCTCTGTGGCCACCTCAGCCCAGGGGGCTGGGTACTGACAGATGGTTGACTGCCAGGCAGAGATGTCAGTTTCCCCTAATTCAGCATTCAGGTTGAAAAAGGTAGGCAATGTAAAAAGAAGTTTTAAGTGTGAAGAGAGAGGAGAATCACCATAGCTAAAACGCTCTGCATAGCCTCAGAAACAGTAAGTTAATCTAGATGTAACTGGGTTTTACTGAATCAGTGGGCAGATCCTGAGGGTCTGGTGAGGGGTCCAGCCATCTTTGGTGATGACAGGTCTACTGTTGCTGCAAGGGGTTGATGATACTCACTTTTCAATATCAAGCCACATTAAAGGTGGCTCAGACATGCTCATACTGGGAACATGGACAGAGATTATTTCCTAAATGAAAGTCCTATCAATATACTTTCTGCACTGAGAAATACAAAGCCTTACGCAAAGGCTTTCCTGGGGCATTACTTATCAGAATAATAGGTTTTTCTCTATACATGACCACAAAAAACCAGGCCAGCAATACAGAAATACTTCTTTACTCACCTGCCTATAGTTAGGTTTTTGGGACCACTTACCAACCCTGGAGAATGGAGCCAGCACAGCCTTTTTAATTGTGACTGATACTTGGCCTAATGTGCTCTCCTTTGGCACTATAATATACATGAGGCCACCCCACAGACTAGAGAATTCCATGGTATTTTTTTCAACTTTGAACTTCTTTACTACCAAGGGAGGCCTCTTCAGCTCCACAGCATAGCTGAGGTCATCAGTGTGACAGCTGATCTGCACCTGGCAGGGAACAAGTCACCGAAAGGCACTGCAACTCGAGAGGCTCGGGGTAGCTCCACTCCAAACTCGGTGTGTTCTGTAGCTACCATAGGCAACAAGACGCTCTTGTCTCAACTCGGAGAGGCTCGGGTAGCCCCACTCCAAACTTGGTGTGTTCTGTAGCTACCATAGGCAACAAGACGCTCTTGTCTCAGCAGGGAATGGCAACAGTATGTTACCATATGGAACATTATTCTTTGCCTTGGCACGGATACCAATCAGATGAAAGTAGCGTGAAAGAATTCAAGGGCAGACTTAAGCCCCATGAATAAGAAAATGGAAATGGTGGATCAGTTGCCAAAGAAAAGTAGAATTCTCTTTCTACAGCTCTGTTCGAAAGGAGGGATTTCACTGGTTTTGAAGAAATTTCGAAGTTGGTTGGCCCCAGCTTTAGGACCCTTACCTCCCATCACAGCTACCATAGATGTGCTGCTATAAATGGATAGCTGTGGTGGGTTGAGGCTGGCTGGATGCCAGTTACCCACCAAAGCCGCTTTCTCACTCCCCTCCCCACCTGGACAGGGGAGAGAAAATATAATGAAAGGCTCATGGGTCGAGATAAGGACAGGGGCATCACTCAGCCATTACTGTCACGGGCAAAACAGACTCGACTTGGGGAAAATTAATTTAATTAATTACCAATCAAATCAGAGTAGGATAATGAGAAATAAAACCAAATCTTAAAAACACCTTCCCCCCACTCTCCCCTTCTTCCCGGGCTTAACTTCACTCCCGATTTTCTCTACCTCCTGCCCCCAAGCAGCGCAGGGGGACGGGGAATGGGGGTTGCGGGCAATTCATCACACATTGTCTCTGCCGCTCCTTCCTCCTCAGGGGGAGGACTCCTCACACTCTTCCCCTGCTCCAGTGTGGG